AATATCTTAATCACGTCGGCCACGGAGAAGGAGAGGCCGCAGTCCTTGGTAGTGGGCCTCTTCAGTGGCACTGTGTTATCCTCAAAGCGGGCGAAGAAGGTGTTTAGCTTGTCTGGAAGCGAGACGTCGGTGTCGGCGACGTGGCTGGTTTTCATTTTGTAGTCTGTGATTGTCTGTAGACCCTGCCACATACGTCTCGTGTCTGAGCCGTTGAATTGCGACTCCACTTTGTCTCTATACTGATGTTTTGCCAGTTTAATTGCCTTGCGGAGTGAGTAGCTACTCTGTTTGTATTCTGCCATATTCCCAGTCACCTTGCCATGGTTGAATGCGGTGGTTTGTGCTTTCATATTGGCGCGAATGCTGCCATCTATCCACGGTTTCTGGTTAGGGTAGGTTTTAATAGTCACAGTGGGCACAACATCATCTATACACTTCCTGATAAACTCAGTCACCGTTTCAGTGTATTCGTCAAAATTATTTTCGGAAGCTACCCGGAACATATCCCAGTCCGCGTGATCAAAACAATCTTGAAGCGTGGATTCCGATTGGTCAGACCAACGTTGAATAGTCCTTAGCACGAGTACTTTTCGGAAGCAACCCGGAACATATCCCAGTCCGCGTGATCAAAACAATCTTGAAGCGTGGATTCCAATTGGTCAGACCAGCGTTGAATAGTCCTTAGCACGAGTACTTCCTGTTTGAGTTTCTGCCTATAGGAAGGGAGGAACAAAATGGAGTCGTGGTCAGATTTGCCGAAAGGAGGGCGGGGGAGGGCCTTATAACCATCTCGGAAGTTCGAATAGCAATGGTCGAGGATTTTGGCAGCGCGAGTACAACAGTCGATATGTTGATTGAACTTCGGCAGCCTAGTCCTCAAATTTGCTTTGTTAAAATCCCCGACTACAATAAATTCAGCCTCAGGATATGTGGTTTCCAGTTTGCATAAAGTCCAGTGAAGTTCTTTGAGGGCCGTCGTGGTATCGGCTAGAGGGGGGATATACACGGCCATGACTATAACCGAAGACAATTATCTTGGGAGATAATACGGTCGGCATTTGATTGTGAGATATTCTAAGTTGTTACTACACTTACACCATGAGTCGTTAATCATGAAACACACACCTTCACCCTTCTGCTTCCCGGAGAGATATTTATTCCTGTCTGCGCGATGAACTGAGAACCTGTGTAGCTCAGTTGGTAGAGCATGGCGCTTGCAATGCCAGGGTTGTGGGTTCGATTCCCACGGGGGGCCAGTATGAAAAAATGTATGCACTCACTAACTGTAAGTCACTCTGGATAAGAGCGTCTGCTAAATGAGTAAAATGTAAAATGTAACCCCTCTGGCTGGACTGATTTCAGAATATCCCAAGAGAGCCATGTTTCCGTGAAACAAAGTATGTTACAGGCCTTGATGTCTCTCTGGAAAGAAATCCTTGCCCGGAGTTTGTCGATCTGAACATTAGCGAGTAGTATACTTGGAAGCGGTAGGTGGTGGGCGCACCTCCTAAATCGAACCAGCAGGCCGCTCCGAGTGCCTCTCCTGCGCCGCCGATGTTTTGGATCAGCCGCTGGAATCAGTTCAGTTGCCCTGGGGAGAGCAAACAAAGGATCTGCTTCGGGAAAGTCGTATTCCTGGTCGTAATGCTGGTGAGTTACCGCTGCTCTGATATCCAATAGTTTTCCCCGGCACTATGTAATGATACAAAAAACTTTCTGAGCTAATAATGTAAAAAATCATACATAAAAAAACAAAATACTGCAAAGTTTCCTAAGAGCTAGTCGCAAGGCTGCTATCTTCGTCGGCGCCAGGTCAAACTCATGGACCTCCTTCCTGGTCCGTGAGTTTTGGTGGGCGGCCCTCTCTTGGCAGGTTTGTTGTGGTGCCATATTCTTTCCAATTTTTTAAAATAGATTTAATGGTACCCCTTGGGATGTTCAAAGTTTCGGATATTTTTTTATAACCCAACCCTGATCTGTACTTCTCCACAACTTTGTCCCTGACCTGTTTGGAGAGCTCCTTGTTCTTCATGGTGCCGCTTGCTTGGTGGTGCCCCTTGCTTAGTGGTGTTGCAGACTCTGGGGCCTTTCAGAACAAGTGTATATATACTGAGATCATGTGACAGATCATGTGACACTTAGATTGCACACAGGTGGACTTTATTTAACTAATTATGTGACTTCTGAAGGTAATTGGTTGCACCAGATCTTATTTAGGGGCTTCATAGCAAAGGGGGTGAATACATATGCACGCACTAGTTTTCCGTTATTTATCTTTTAGAATTTTTTTAAACAAGTTATTTTTTAAATTTCACTTCACCAATTTTGACTATTTTGTGTATGTCCATTACATGAAATCCAAATAAAAATCCATTTAAATTACAGGTTGTAATGCAACAAAATAGGAAGAACGCCAAGGGGGGTGAATACTTTTGCAAGGCACTGTATACATTGGGACAGGTAGCGTTCTCCTGGTATCTGCCAAACCCAGATTTGTCCGTCGGACTGCCAGATGGTTAAGCATGATTCATCACACCAGAGAACAAGTTTCCACTGCTCCAGCGTCCAATGGCAGCGAGCTTTACATCACTCCAGCCGACGCTTGGCATGGTGATCTTAGGCTTGTGTGCGGCTGACAAACAGTTATTGTGCTGACGTTGCTTCCAGAGGCAGTTTGGAACTTGGTAGTGAGTGTTGCAACCGAGGACAGACGATTTTTATGCGCTTCGCGCTTCAGCACTCGCCGGTCCTGTTCTGTGAGCTTGTGTGGCCTACCACTTCGCGGCAGAGTCGTTGTTGCCCATAGACATTTCCACTTCACAATAACAGCACTTACAGTTGACCGGGGCAACTGACTTGTTGTTGAACAACTGACATGTTGGAAAGGTGGCATCCTATGACGGTGCCACGTTGAAAGTCACTGAGCTCTTCAGTAAGGCCATTCTATTGCCAACGTTTGTCTATGGAGATTGCATGGCGGTGTGTTCGATTTTATACACCTGTCAGCAACGGGTGTGGCTGAAATAGCCAAATCCACTAATTTGAAGGAGTGTCCATATACTTTTGTATATACACAGTATAGTGTATATCGATATACTACATGTATGATGCATTGCTGTTTGATAGGCTACATTGCTGTTTCATGAAGTGGAACTTTGAGAAGTTGACATTTGGTAGACCACGTTCAGGACCTGTTCATGGTGCTGAAACGATTCAAACAAATGACATCCAAATCAACGTTATAATCGGTATAGTCATTTTAATTTGTGCTTTACATTATTAAGTAACAATATGGCACCAATTTAACAATATTCATACATTACATAGGCTATTAGATAAATATGAGGAAAAACCACTAGCCACGTTGTGGAAACGGCACGCTCTTCTGTGGTGTAGGAGGACGTTCAAAATAATAAATGTAATTAATTAATTAAAGTCTTCTCCTCTGTCTCTTCTTCCTCTGAGCCAAAATCATAATAATAATAGTCTTGATGCCTGAGGAATGAAAATATATTTACATTTTGAAATTATAGACTTATAGACAAGTAATATTGCACCATCCGAAAGTCAATATTGTATCTAATCTTTTTTCCATGGAATACTATCTTTTATAATCAGTCATTATACCTTATGTTAAACATGCAACAAAAACACCATTATGCAACGTGGTCTCATAGCATTTTTTATTATTCTGAGACACTCCATTTAGTATGATATGTTACATTTTATATGGTATGTATTAATTTGTGGATGTCCATTATTCATTTTGTATCATATGTAAGAAATTGTCTCCCGAGTGGCGCAGTGGTCTAAGGCACTGCATCGCAGTGCTAGCTGTGCCACTAGAGATCCTGGTTCAAATCCAGGCTCTGTCGTAGCTGGCCGCGACCGGGAGACCCATGGGGTGGCGCACAATTGGCCCAGCGTTGTCCAGGGTAGGGGAGGGAATGGCCGGCAGGGATGTAGCTCAGTTGGTAGAGCATGGCGTTTGCAACGCCAGGGTTGTGGGTTCGATTCCCACGGGGGGGTATAACAAATAATGTATGTAAGTCGCTCTGGATAAGAGCGTCTGCTAAATGACTTAAATGTAAATGAATTACAATATGTTACGAATTTGCAAAATGTACAATATGTTACGAATTTGCAAAATGTACAATATGTTAGGAATTTGCAAAAGGTATGAAATGTTACGAATTCCTATTTGTTGTGGCTAATGCTAACGTTAGCTAGCTGGCTAACGTATAATAATATGCCATTTAGCAGACACTTTTATCCAAAGCGACTTACAGTCATGCGTGCATACATTTTTTGTGTATGGGTGGTCCCGGGGATCGAACCCACTACCTTGGCGTTACAAGCGCCGTGCTCTACCAGCTGAGCTACAGAGGACCACAGTCAATATGTTACGAATTTCGTACAATATGTTGCGAATTTGCGAAACGTACAATATGTTACAAATTTGCTAAATGTATGATATGTTATGAATTCCAATTTGTTGTGGCTAACTTTAGCTAGGGGTGGTTAGGTGGCTAATGTTAGCTTGCTGGCTAACGTTAGCTAGGCTAGGGGTTAGGGTTAGGTGTTAAGGTTAGGGTTAGGAGTTAGGTTAAAGGGTTAAGGTTGGGGTTAGGGGAAGGGGAAAGGATAGCTAAAAGGGTTAAGGTTAGGGTTAGGATTAGGGGAAGGGGAAGCTAACATGCTAAGTAGTTGCAAAGTAGCTAAAAAGTAGTAAGCAGTTGCAAAGTTGCTAATTAGCTAAAATGCTAAAATTGTCCTTGTTGAGATTTGAACACACAACCTTTGGGTTGCTAGACATCCGCTTTATAATATGCCTACCCATCCATCTCGACCAACCGCCTTACTTTCGTTTTTGCCTTAAGTAACCTTCTGTCTTATGTAACCAAACATAACATATCATACTAATTTGAGTGTCCTGGATTTACACTTACTATGTTATGTCTAGTCTATGAGACCAGTCTGCATTATGCATAAATGAAGGCCTACCTAATGTTTCCATTTGGCATGGATTCAGACATGCGTGAGGCCATGGCTTGGAAAGGATACCGGTGGTAGAACTCATTCCTGCCGAACCTCGGTGGCAGGGTGGCAGAGGGCACTGTCCCGATCTGGGGACATTCAATACATGAGGTTATAAACGTTGCACCAGACCCCTGTGCTCTTCCAAACCGTTGTGGTAAATTGAGGGTGGATTTGGGTGAGTGTGTGTCATCAGGTTGGGAGTTCCGGCCGAAGCGCAGCGGGAGGTTGGCATGAAAGTGTAATGGTTTGACCGGTGGCGGGTAGAGTCGGACCATGGTCGGTGCTGAGCTGACTTTTCCGCTGGTTGGGACTATGTTGATTTTGAAATCATCCACCTCGAGACTCTGTAGTATTTCATTGTTTGCCTGAAAAGCAAAATGCAGAAAAACGCATGAAATATTTAAACCCTTTCGGGGTTTTTTGTGTGTGTATAAAATCTAGAAATAATCATAGCAAATTATATTATTGTGACTATTCATTAACTGATAACAAATGCTACAAATTGATTGTCATATCAAATCAGTAGAGCATTTGAATGCCCATTTTAGCAGATATTCTCTGGGAAAGTATGGAATCCAAATCAATCAATCAAATCAAATGTATTTTATAAAGCCCATTTTACATCAGCAGTTGTCACAAAGTGCTTTACAGATAGCCAGCCTAAAACCCCAAAGAGCAAGCAATGCAGGAGCAGCAGCACAGTGGCTAGGAAAAAGTCTAGAAGGAAGGAACCTAGGAAGAAACCTAGAGTGGAACCAGGCTCTGAGGTGTGGCCAGTCCTCTTCTCGCTGTTCTGGATAGCGATTGAACGTTTTACATGTGGCCATTAAGGCCAGATTGTGTGGCCAGATTGATAGCTTATCAGAACAGGATAGTGCACACAAAAAATATGTAGCCTTTTCTGTCCCTTATAAGGAATTAAATTAAATTAGTAGAACATTGCTAATAAACCAAAATATAATGATTTAGTAATAAATATGTACTTACCATTTAACCAGGCTTCACTAAAACTCTGTAATGCCCAACCTAGACATTAGAGAGGCAAATAATCTATTGACAAAGGCAGCTCAAAACTCACCTTTGTAATCTGACTTTTATTTAGTGGGCCTATTTATGTCTAATTGTGGTAGTTTTTTAAATAAATTGCAATTAAGTGTTTTTCATTATATCAAATATTGTAAAGCTATTGGTGGCCCGGGCTGGGTTTCTACTGAGCTAACATATGGAATTGTTTTAAGATGGTCATACGAAGGATCATTTAGCTATTTAATTTAGAATTTTAGGACCCCAATAAGTTTCCCCCAAAAATATATAAAAAAGTATTTTATGAAACATTGAATTTGATCTTACCACTATTAGCCCTTAGAAATGCATTGAATAACAGATTCATACATGGCAAAACAGATGGTCAAAAAATTCATCAGAAGGGAGTATGTTTTGAAGTGTCTGTCCTATATCTGAGAGATCAGATTAATTTATATATTTTTAATTGACCCATATTTAACCCCTTTTTTTGGCACTAAATGACACTATACTATATGTCTCCTGGTCTGACAAACATTGCTGTAGCTGTGCTACCTTCCACCGCAGATGCGGAAGGACGACATCAGCGGATGCGGTGGATTGAAACGCAGCCCATGCAAACAGACAGATTTTGATGGGGATTTTTTATTATACTAATTGGATATCCTCGGGGGGGGGGGTTAAGCCTACGTTATCCTGATTTCTCTGCTTTTATTACTTATTTTATGCTTCTTGTAAAACAGTGTATTCAGCTATTTGAAGCTGGTATACAAAACCAAAAGTAAAAGACACAAAAACAAAACTTAAGAACAAGAAGCAAAGAAATAGTGTGCATAGAAATAGCACACATAGAACTGATCTACCGTTTCTTAGACTTGCTTTCACGTAGAATGATAGATCTATAACGCACATTTCTATGTGAAAATGATCGGGTTGCCCAAAAAGATACATATTATCACTTTAAATAGCAATAATATCAAATAGCCATCTGTTAGAATGCCTACTTCATTATCTAATTGACATAAATATGTATTTCGCTACATTTTACTTATTTTTTTCAAGCTCCCTATAGCAAACACTACTATTTTAGAGATCATTTTGGGTGTAGGGTTATGCTTACCTGAGGGTGCTGTCGCTGTCTAGTGGTGTGTCGGTCGTTGGTCATGGACATTCTGTACGCCCCAGAGTCAGAGGCCATCAACCCTTGGATTCCCAAACATCCAAGAATAACCAAGGTGAACATCACCATCATCATAGTCGCAGTGGCAGTAAGCGTCTTGTCTCTGTGGAACACTGAGTACAACACTTATAGCCTCTGTCTCTGACCGTCACCTGCTCTTAAAGGGTGTAGAAACACACACACACAAACACACACACACACACACACACACACACACACCATTCACCAACCAGAATCATGAATGAACGTATTGCCCAACCCGGAACTTCCTAATTTGGCCCACATACAAAACATATTACACACACACACACACACAAATGTCCAATTTGCCACAGAACCATACATGAGCCCATGTGAGCACATGCTCATTAAGCCCTCACACATTAGACACACATACAATTACATAACCGGAATGAACCAGACATTGCCCTGTGTAGGGTGCCGTCCTTCGGATGGGACATTAAACTGATGTCCTGACTCTCTGTGGTCACTAAAGATTCCATGGCACTTATCGTAAGTGTAGGGGTGTTAACCCCGGTGTCCTGGCTAAATTCCCAATCAGGCCTTCATACCATCATGGCCACCTAATCAACCCCAGCTTCCAATAGGCTCATTTCATCCCCACTCCACTCCCCTGTAACTATTCCTCAGGTCGTTGATGTAAATGAGAATGTGTTCTCAGTCAACTTACCTGGTAGAATAAGGGTTAAATAAATAAATAAAATAAATATGGTTGGAACTAGAGAGGAGTCTTGGGCATTCAGATGTCTGGATTCTGTAATCAGCACTTGATTACTATATATTGGATCAGTAGTTTTGTTACAGTATCTTGCGTACCTTTACATTTGTCAGAATGCATCTGGAATGTATTTCAAGGCAGATCGTTGGTTGTGAAGATGGTGGCAGGTAGCCTAGTGGTTAAGTTATGGAAAGGTCGCAGGTATGAATCTCCGAGCCGACTAGGTGAAAAATCTGTCGATCTGCGCTTGAGCAAGGCACTTAACCCTAATTGCTCCTGTAAGTCGCTCTGGATGAGATCGTCTGTTAAACGATGTAAATGTAAGATGACCTGATTGTATTGCCATGGTTGTGTAAGGTCCTTCACATGGCGTGATACATTATTAGTCAGTGAATACCGAAGTCATCCACTCAAAGAAACATTCTAAGAACCTGTGTGTTTCTTTCTCTGTTATGTATAAGATACATGAGCATGTGTCAGGGTGACAAATCTAGTCACTTCTTATTGGTCAATTGACTCAAGGTTGTATTTGACCCTTGGGTCATTTATGATGATAGGGGAGGAAATGTGCATATCTCTTTTTGGAAAAAAGTTAAACTTATATTTCAGTTATTATGTGTGGATTAGTTAATAGAGACAAGAATGTGACGCGTTAATAGTCGGAAAAAGCAGGCGACAATTATCAACACTATGCTTCTAATTAATGCCTGTCTATAGCATTCTTTCCCTGTGTTTAGTGGTGCTATACAGGGCTCATCTGGAAAAGATACCTTGGTTTCAGCAATGACTCCCTGTCAAAACAAAGATACAGATATTTTGCCATTATTTGGTCTTTTGACCAATTATATCAGATATTTTGCCAATAATTGGCCTGCCTGTGTAAACACAGCCATAGCCTACTAATATTCAGCTTTTAATGAAAAGATTTTGGTGTGCAACAAGCTCTCACAGTCTCATGTCAGAATTAGACATTCATCCATGTTTCTCAAACGTCAAATTTCGAAAGTTGTTACAAACTTCAAATTTGGAAGTGTTTAAGGTTAAGTTTAGGCATTAACTCGGAAGTCTTAAGGTTAGTCATTAATTCTACCTTCTGCACCAGAGGCAGATGCTTACGCCCATCGGCCATCCCTGTCCACAACGCCCTGGCAAAACCGAAACCTACTTGAAGGTAACATGAATCGAAGATGGCGTAACAGTGCGGTCGTGTACTATGTGTGTGTCCGTGTAAATAACCTGTTTTTTGTATTTTGTTTTGTATTTTTCGTACATATTTCCCTATCACACATTTCATCCTTCTACTAAATATACTTTCCTGCAACCCGCCTCACTCAATGTGGAACGGATTCTATTACTGACTTACCTTTTATCTAGAATCTCCAGTTGAAACTAGCTAGCCAGCTAACTAGCTACTTGCCCGGCTATCTACCTCTCTGTCTACCGGACGAGAGTAGCCAGCTAACTAGCTACTTGCTATTAGCTACCGTTAGCGGTTTTTCACCATTGTCCGTGGCCTGCACTACCTACCAGCCAGCTCTAGCCTGGACTATTATCGGCCAGTCTGCACTGTCTGCACAGCGCGTTATCAACCCAGAAAATATTGTTTTTTCTGCCGGAATCACTGAATCACTGGACCTTTAACTCCGGATCATCGCAACTAGCTAGCTGCAACCAAATGGATGTTGTTGTTGGCTAATCAGCCTTGAGCTAGCCTCGAGTCAGGCCCATCTCCCAGCTATCTACCTCTCTGTCAACCGGACGGGACCTCCTAGAGTCAACACGGAGCCCCACCGATCCATCACGACTGGTCTGCCGACGTAATCGTCTGTGGTTTCAACAGGATTCTCGTTGCGAAGACCATGAAGATCCATCTGCTAGCCCCGGCCCACTAGCACACGCAAACAACAGCCGTGCTTCCTGCTAGCCAGTGCTGTAGCACCAATTCGAACTGCTCTCGGACTCACATATTGCTGTTTACTGGACCTTATGATCACTCAGCTGCACAGCTGATGCCTGCTGGACTGTTCCTTTACACGGTACCCTGTCCTGTTTATCTGTTTAGCCTCAGCCCAAACTTTCATCGCCATTACCAGTTGTTGTCTTAGCTCTCTCGAATAACACCTGTGATTGCTTTATGCCTCTCTCCCATGTCAATATGCTTTGCCTATTGCTGTTCCAGTTAGTTCTTATTATACAATTTCACTGTAAAGCACCAACTCCCTCTCAAACTGCCTCAAATAGCTCCTTTGTTCCACCCCCCATACACATGGAGACCGGCTCAATAGGTGCCTCCAGTGATGCTATCTCTTTCATTGTTACCCAACACTTAGGTTTACCTCCACTGTACTCATATCCTTCTATATCCTTGTCTGTACATAATGCCCTGAATATATTCTACAATGCCCGGAAATCTGCCCCCTTTACTCTCTGTACCCAACGCACTAGAAGACCAGTTCTTAAAGCCTTTAGCCTTATCCTTATTCTAGTCCTCCTCTGTTCTTCTGGTGATGTAGAGGTTAACCCTGCAGCCCCCAGTATCACTCCTACTCCCCAGGAGCTATCATTTGTTGACTTCTGTAACTGTAAAAGCATTGGCTTTTTGCATGTTAACATCAGAAGCCTCCTCCCTAAGTTTGAGTTATTCACTGCGTTAGCACACTCCGCCAACCCTGATGTTCTAGCAGTGTCTGAATCCTGGCTTAGGAAGGCCACCAAAACTTCAGAAATGTCCATCCCCAACTACAACATTTTCCGTCTAGATAGAACTGCCAAAGGGGGTGGAGTTGCAATCTACTGTAGAGATAGCCTGCAGAGCTCTATCATACTATCCAGGTCTGTGCCCAAACAGTTTGAGCTCCTACTTCTAAAAATCCACCTTTCCAGAAATAAGTCTCTCACTGTTGCCGCTGTGCCCTGGACACCATATGTGAATTGATTGCCCCCCATCTATCCTCAGAGTTCGTACTGCTTGGTGACCTAAACTGGGATATGCTTAACACCCCGGCCATCCTACAATCCAAACTAGATGCCCTCAATCTCACACAAATTATCAAGGAACCTACCAGGTACAACCCTAAATCTGTAAACATGAGCACCCTTATAGATATCATCCTGACTAACTTACCCTCTAAATACACCTCCGCTCTCTTCAACCAGGATCTCAGCGATCACTGCCTTATTGCCTGCGTCCATAACGGGTCCGCGGTCAAACGACCACCCCTCATCACTGTCAAACGCTCCCTAAAACACTTTACATTTACATTTACGTCATTTAGCAGACGCTCTTATCCAGAGCGACTTACAAATAGGTGCATTCACCTTATTGCCAGTGGGATCACCACTTTACCAATTTTTTTTTTTTTTTGGGGGGTGGGGTTGGGGTTTGGGTTGGGGTAAGGGGGGGGGGGTAGAATGATTACTTTATCCTATCCCAGGTATTCCTTAAAGAGGTGGGGTTTCAAATGTCTCCGGAAGGTGGTGAGTGACTCCGCTGTCCTGGCGTCGTGAGGGAGCTTGTTCCACCATTGGGGTGCCAGAGCAGCGAACAGTTTTGACTGGGCTGAGCGGGAACTATGCTTCCGCAGAGGTAGGGGAGCCAGCAGGCCAGAGGTGGATGAACGCAATGCCCTCGTTTGGGTGTAGGGACTGATCAGAGCCTGAAGGTACGGAGGTGCTGTTCCCCTCACAGCTCCGTAGGCAAGCACCATGGTCTTGTAGCAGATGCGAGCTTCAACTGGAAGCCAGTGGAGTGTGCGGAGGAGCGGGGTGACGTGAGAGAACTTGGGAAGGTTGAACACCAGACGGGCTGCGGCATTCTGGATGAGTTGTAGGGGTTTAATGGCACAGGCAGGGAGCCCAGCCAACAGCGAGTTGCAGTAATCCAGACGGGAGATGACAAGTGCCTGGATTAGGACCTGTGCCGCTTCCTGTGTAAGGCAGGGTCGTACTCTCCGAATGTTGTAGAGCATGAACCTACAGGATCGGGTCACCGCCTTGATGTTAGCGGAGAACGACAGGGTGTTGTCCAGGGTCACGCCAAGGCTCTTCGCACTCTGGGAGGAGGACACAACGGAGTTGTCAACCGTGATGGCGAGATCATGGAACAGGCAGTCCTTCCCCGGGAGGAAGAGCAGCTCCATCTTGCCAAGGTTCAGCTTGAGGTGGTGATCCGTCATCCATACTGATATGTCTGCCAGACATGCAGAGATGTGATTCGCCACCTGGTTATCAGAAGGGGGAAAGGAGAAGATTAGTTGTGTGTCGTCAGCGTAGCAATGATAGGAGAGGCCATGTGAGGATATGACAGAGCCAAGTGACTTGGTGTATAGGG